AAATGTAATTATGAGATTGAATAAATCAAAATGACAAGATAAAAAGTCATAATTCACTTTCTGTCATAATAATTATATAATAATAATTTCTATTCATGTCATAAAATAGACTTAGTGTGTCAACTTTTTATGTCAAGTTGTCAACTAAGACTATGTCTCATAATTGTGGCTAGACTTTTTATGTCATAATTATGAGATAACATGTAAAAAGTATGGCATACCAATTGATTATGACTATGGTAAATCGTAATTATGAGATTAATAAATGTATGAGATAAAAAGGTGAAGTTCACTTCATGTCATGATTAACACTGTATCTATACTATATATTTCTAATAATTATGATTTACAAAAGCAAGATTTCCTTTTCTTATGTGGCAGAAATGGGATTCCATAGGAATGAATGTGAATGTAACCAAAAACTAAATTTATTTTCTAAAGCAATGTATAGTGCTAACCTGATCTCTCACTCTGTCTGACACACAATACACACCCTTTAGCTGCTGGGAGTGGCGTTCCTGTCCGTGGCTCTGTGGGCCTGGAGTGAGAAGGTGAGTGAAGCCCATCTTTTCACGAGCACTTCATATATCAATCTAACAAATCAAGTGAAATCTTGAAATTAAGTTAATGTCCTCACTTTTATTCCTGTTTGTCTTTCCATCAGGGTGTCCTCTCCAACATATCCTCCATCACAGACCTGGGTGGGTTTGACCCAGTGTGGCTGTTTCTTGTGGTTGGAGGGGTGATGTTCGTGCTCGGGTTCGCAGGATGCATCGGTGCTCTGAGGGAAAACTCCTTTCTTCTTAAGTTTGTATGTCCTATTTTGTTTTTCCCAATGAGTTCAAGCAAAACCTCTAAGCAATGTGTATTTAGTGCACCTACCATCTGCCATTGAAGTCATGTGACAGTGGTGTAGTCTGTTTATAGCCTGCTTTAGCTTTGTTTGTATTTTGGCTTAAAATTGTGTTAATTTGTAAATATTATCATGATGAACAAAATATGCAAGAATCATAAACGTTTGTTGGTCACAGCTTTTTAATTAAGAAGCCAATGGAAAAATCCTATTGGGCTTTTTGTTGAGTAAACCAGAGTAACGCTAACTTCTAGGTTGGGCTACAAAAATACACAATCACAAACGAATAGTGTTAAATTTTTTGGTACGGTTTGGTTTTAGGCTTTCAGGCATAAATTAATTTCCTTGTTATGACACTCGGCATATATTTAGTAATCTTTATCTGTCTGCTGTGCAAATGCAGCTTCTGTGCCCCATTTTGCAATGTAATGGGGTGAAAGTTGTTACAGAGATTTGCAAGAATGTAGGATGGTTGCAATTATTACATTGACGTCATGACTGCCTGTCAGATAAAAGGCCCATTCACAGCAATAAAGATAGCAATGACTATATTAGTGTCCTCCACACCAACACACAATATCTTTGTTTATTTTGCACACACTTCAGGGTCATTCCCTGTCAAATCAACCAAATTTCATTTGTACTATTCATATTTTTTTGTGAATAAAGACAGATAAATAGTGACTAAGAAAGCCTAAGAGAGAGAGAGAGAGAGAGAGAGAGAGAGAGATATTAGGGCTATCAAACGATTAATCGCATCCAAAATAAAAGTTTGTGTTTACATAATACAGTATATGTGGGTGCACTGTGTATGATTATTTTATATATATATATATATATATATATATATATATAAATACCCACACTTGCTTTTATATATTTAAGAAATATTTTCATACTGTATATAGATTTATATATAATTTATAATATATATAAATATAAACATTTTACATATAAATAAAAGTTTCTTAAATATACATGTATATGTATATATATATATATATATATATACATACACACACACACACACAAAATAATTATACACAGTGCACCCACATATATTATGTAATCACAAACTTTTATTTTGGATGCGATGAATCACGCTTAATCATTTGACAGCCCTAATATATATATATATATATATATATATTAGACTATTTAGAAAAGATGGTGGCATCATTATTTTATATTTACACAGAGATTGGTGGGTCTATTTAAAATCTGTTGACTTTGTTGCAATATATGCCAAAGGTGACATGGGGGGAAAGCTTTTTGGGGGCTTTTTTTGCCCTGAGTTAGCATGCTTGTAACTCAAAAAGTATTAAATATATCTTAATATCCTTTTAGATTTACATTTATTCATTTAGCTGACGTTTTTATCCAAAGCGACTTACAATTACTATATATGTCAGAGGTTGCACGCCTCTGGAGCAACTAGGGGTTAAGTTAAGATTTTGTGTTTTAACATGCATCTGTTTTGTTATCTTCACTTTTAAGGTCCTACATGGTTCAATCCCAGATCTAAATGCAGCTCCATGAGTAAATTGGTCAATTGTACACATTTTCAAAAAGCAAATGTGGGTCACTTTGCCTACAGCTGGTACTTTTTTCGTTTAGGAATTACAAAGATGTTGAAACTAAAAATGTATCAATTTTTTTTTTTTTTTTTTTCGATCAACACAATTTCATAGAATATACCTACTGTGCAGACAAAAGTGAATAGAGAGTGCAAGTGTGTAAATTTGTTTTTGAATGGCTGGATATGGATGGGTGGGATAGACTGGGCTTGAAAGTGTGTGAACTTCCTCTCCCACAGGTTCTGGTCGTCTGTGTTACTCCTTTCAAATGAGAGAGGATGCTGTGAGAGCTTTGTGGGAATGTCAAGAATGGTATTGCAAAAGTATTACAAGAGGCCCATTTCCTCTGTAGGGTTCTTAAAACATCTGGAAACACCAGATGAACTAACTCTGATGTCACTCTGGAAGTATTCATTACGGTCACAGTGACAAATCACCGCTCACTGTTCTTGTGTGTGCAGTTGGAGATGAGCGTTGTGAAAATATGTGAATGTTTTGAGACGGGAAATAAGAACTACGTCATCTCTTAAAAAAAAAAAAAAGGAACATTCCCCTGTAAATGTGTCAAGGGATGTTGGCAGGGTTAGGTATCATAAAACAGAGAATGTTAACTGAGTTTAATCTATTGTGGGAAAGAAACATGTTCTTTATTCAATAGAGACCCTTAGGGCAGATATTATCCATCATGAGTTGTGTAACCCAAATTCTGCTGTCCTCTTCCGCAGTTTTCCGTTTTTCTGGGAATCATATTTTTCCTGGAGTTGACAGCGGGAGTCTTGGCGTTTGTCTTTAAGGACTGGATTAAAGACCAGCTCAAGTTCTTCATCAACAACAATATTCGAGCATACAGAGACGACATTGACTTACAGAATCTTATTGATTTCACGCAAGATTATGTAAGGACACACTGGCACACAAAACCAAACCATGAAAAGTGTATACACACAGTATATTTATGTGTCTTGCTTATATACTTGCTTTATATATATATGTATATATATAGACATACTGTGTGTGTGTTACCGCTTTACAATAAGGCTCCATCTGTTAACATGAGCTAACAATGAAAATACTTCTAAAGCAGTTAATGTTAATCTTAGTAGCTGAAATCTGTACTAATGGCTTTCATCTATTGGTTGGTTCACACATCAGTATTCATTGCATGATTGTTTCTGCAGTGGGAGTGTTGTGGAGCTTTTGGGCCTGAAGATTGGAATCTGAATATTTACTTTAATTGTACGGACACCAATCTGAGCAGAGAGAAATGTGGGGTTCCCTTTTCCTGCTGCACCAAGGACCCTGCTGTAAGTAAACACACAGACACATGACTTCCAGTCATCTTATCACCTAGAATGTGTCTTAGTCTCCTTCCGGAAGACCTGGGAACATAAACCTACACACACACAAACGAACAAAACAACATTTCTCTATCTTATAATACTCAGACACTAGGATTTAATGTGGAATGTTAAGTTGATGTTTTTCAGAGGACTTAATCTAAGATTACTTCCTGTTTTTCTTCCCAAAGGAGGATGTAATCAACACTCAGTGTGGATATGACATTCGAGCGAAAGGCGTAAGTACTCTACTCCTCTGCAAAATAATATCCACCCAAAAATTCAGTCAACCCTTTTATTTACACTCAAGTCTCTACAATCCGTTTGGCTTTCTTTCTTCTGTAGAACGCAAATGGATTTAGAGAATATACATTCCCATATAATTGAAGTATACTGGGACTTTTACGCTTAAAAATGACATAAAAGTGATCCATATGCACTATATAGCAAGTTTTCTGAAGCTTACTGTGTTTTAATAAGTGGAATTGTTTTATATTTTGCATGTATTTACTTTATCTTTGGCTAACCTTGTGACCCGAGTGGAGCGACGCAACAAAAGCAACTAGAACCCATTATAATTACTGATGCTGTCTACACTGGATGCGACACGCATGACAAATTCCTGACATACTCCAAATAGATTTGGAGTGGTAATTTTGTTGAATCCAGTGCAAACAGCCTCAAGCTGTTGGTGTATAGTGTAAATGTGTGTTTTTATGTGTGAAGGACAACGAACAGAAGATGTTTATACACACGAAAGGATGTGTGCCGCAGTTTGAAAAATGGCTACAGGAGAATCTAACCGTAGTTGCCGGAATCTTCATAGGAATTGCACTTCTGCAGGTAACTAAACAATGACAATCAGTAAAATTCGCACACACATACACACACTCAGTGTGCATTTATACATGTTTTAAAGCTACACTGTGTGATTTTTACCCCCATCTAGTGGTGAAAAGGTATATGACCATCCAGTGAACATTAGTTTTTGTTCCTCTCAATTCCGATTTTGTTTTAACTCCTACGGTGGCCAATGTAGTCCAAGATTAATATGGCTTGCAGTTCGACCTCGTCCATGGGTGTTAACTCAAACTAAACGCGAAAGGCGAAGCTTGAATTAACGGGTATGTCCCTCTTTGGCTAATGTACTTTCAAGTAGGAGGGGCAACATGGCGACCGAATGGCAATGGCATATTATACACTCACGAGAATACTTTATTACTTGAACGACATAAATATACATTAATGAGCACATATATTTTTGAAAGAACTAAGTGTTTTTAGCTAAGAATAAACTAAAAGAGTTACACAGTGTAGCTTTAATGTTGTGCATGTGCCACTGTTGATAAAATGATAATGGATAATTGATAATGGAAAATTCCATTGTGCTCTGCAACAATATGAAGACCTATACAGTTCTCTCATTTTACATTTACCCTACAAAGTGATTTATTAATTCTAGGTTCTGAAACCGAACAATTATTCAAAATGTATTAAAAAAGAAACTCATAAAATTAATAATATGTCACAATATTACTGTTTTACTGTATTTTTTTTTATCTAATCAAATAAATGCAGCCTTGGTGAGACTTTTTTTTAATCTAACTAATTCTACCCAAACTTTTGAACAAAAATGCAGCTGGTTTGATATTACTAACAGTCTCTGAAAATTAAATAATTGGGGCCTTCAGAAACATCAAAACCCTTCAACGTTGATTGCCATTTTTTTATATTTCATGCATTGTTTTAGTTTATCTCCAGCTTCTTGTGAGTGCTTTTTAATTTCAGCTGCAGTCTTTCAAATTTACAACCTAAACAACCTGCCAAGTGTGCTTATTTTATTGATTTATAAACAGCTCTTTAAGGTGATTGAATACTTTTACATTTACATTTATACATTTGGCAGACGCGTTTATCAAAAGATTCTTCAAGGTACACATTTTACATTCTCAGTTCTTGCTTTCCCTGGGAAACGAACCCATTACCTTGGCGTTGCGAGCGCGAACACTACTGTTTGAGCTACTGGAAAGCTTTTAGAAGGCATTAAGCCTAGATCTGAAGTTGTTGTGCTATGTTATGTGTAACTCTGTGTTGTCTTTTTGCCTGAGACATTAACCCATTCTCTGCTTCTAGATTTTTGGGATCTGTCTGGCACAGAATCTACTGAGTGACATTGAGGCGGTCAGGGAGAGCTGGTAAGAAACATCAATGATATAAGAAGAACACTGTCTTGAGCTCTGCATTTTGATTAGGGCACACCCTAATGTTAGAATGGGATACAAGGAATGTATGAAAGAATAGCAGAGTCCACACCACAGCTATAAGAATAGAGGTACAGACAATATTGCTGGAATCACTTTCACAGCAATTTTTCCAGTTGATGAACGATAAAAACATTGAAAGCTAATCAGAATCAATTTTGCTTTAATGGGCTCAAAACTGCAGCTTGCGCTTAGAATAGACAGAATGAATTCATCCGCTGGCGGGGACACTAATATATAGTGTGTGTTCACACTTGGCAGGTTTGGTTCGATTAAAACAAACCTTGGTGCGATTGCTCTGTTAGTGTCGTTCATTTGATTAAATGTGAACGCTGCCATCTTAACCCTGTTTTTTCGTCATTGTCTAGATGTTACCCATCACGGTTCAGTTCAGGTATCAGAACCGCGTCTCCACAGATCTTTGTGTGTGTGCCGGAGGGATTTCTGGCGCTTTTTTGACTCTTTTACACATTTTATAAGCTCCTCATGAAGTGTCAACTCCATCATATACCATCATATGTACTGTATGCACATAATGCATGCGTGTTTTGCCTTGCACTCAGTATTGTTTTGAATGTTCGACAAGTTCTGGTGCAAAATATACATCATAAAAGCCTGGTTTGGTGTTAAAAATGGTGTTAAAAAAGTGTGGACACTAAGTGAACCAGGACTAAATGAAAATTTTTTTTTTTGTTCGGACCAAAAGAACCAAGAGAACCAAACTAGAAGCCTGAACATCTTGGTGTGAATGGCCATTAAAGGGATAGTTCACTTTGAAATTAATTTTTTAAAAGGTTTTAGCTTACCTCAAGGGTTTCAATTTTGATTTTTTTTTTTAGGTCAAACCGTTCTTATCTGTCAGTCATATAATGGAGGTCTATGGTCACCACCTGAAAGAGCATGCACAGAGAAGTCCAAATTAAATATGATTTAATGACTCGTAAATTTAAGTACACATGACGGCCTAAAACACGAAACGAGCGGTTTGTGTGAGAAAACGAACAGTATTTATATCGTTTTTACCTCTTGTAACCACAGCCACGTCCAAGAGATCTGAAGGCACGGGCGCTTCGGTCTGCACAAGCGCCGGAAGTGATCTCTTGCGCAGTTGCGAAAAATAAAATCAACGTTGACTGAAATCGTCTTCCATTGCAATTTCCTGTATATCTAAATATGTTTAGATCTTCACAGTGAAGGGTAACACTTCTGACATCTCTGTGTAAACAATGAGTGACGTACACACGCGAGAGATCACAAGAGGTACTGTGACTGTGATTACAAGAGGTAAAACGATATAAATACTGTTCGTTTTCTCACACAAACTGTTCGTTTCGTGTCTTGGGCCATCAATGTGTACTTACATTTACGAGTTATTAAATCATGTTTAATTTGGACTTCTCTGTGCATGCTCTTTGATGTGGTGACCATAGACCTCCATTATATTTCTGACAGACAAGAACGGTGTGACCTAAAAATGTCAAAATTTAAAATACTGCGGAAACAAAGACACCTACATCTTGGATGCACTTGAGGTAATCTAAAACATATCAAAAAATAATTTCAAAGTGAACTATCACTTTGATGATGATGATGATACTGACTAATGCAGATATATTACGGCTAATTTGGCTATATAGTTATGGCTTATTGTCCTTTTTTGTTGTGTAGTGCACTGGAAGTAATCTTTCCTTAATCAAGCTGTCAGTTTGATGGTAATATGCAGGAAGAGGGTGTCTAATCTTGCTAACATTTTGGTCTCTCTCTCTTTTTCATCCTCCAGTTTGTTTACCTGAAGCACTTGAGCCGTTCTGCAGACAGAGCCTCCATCTCTCTGTCACTCAGCAACAGGGTTTGCATTGTCATCACAGTCTCCTAGCAACCAGTGAGGGATTCCATTCACATACCTCCTTTATTGCATTGTACATCGACATCTTCACGTTTCCATCATAATGGTGTGTTTTTAATCCTTCTTCAAATATCACACAACGAAAATCTCAACAGTATTAACGTGTTGAATCTACATACAACTAATTTGTCTTCCTTAAGACCATCCATAACGTAACAAGAAACACTATAGGCCACTTGCATATGGGTCTGTATGATTATGCTGAATGGACATTTAAATATTATAAAATGTGTTTGTCAGTGCTAAGAGAATAGTTATATTGGTAGCTGAAAACATGATCAGATTAGGCGAAATATGAATTACTCGCGGCCGAGGGATGTTTAAGGTGTTGTGAATTACTAGCATCCTATGGAAATCTGCTCAAGCCCAAAGTATACTTTGGCCGTCCGCACCGTCCTTGTGATGTCATTTTCGTCATCAGTAGGACCAACAGCGAATGTGCGACTGACTTGACCGCTTAAGAAATAGTTAGTGCGCATGTGCAAAACACGTCTTTCCGTGTTCATAAAAAATGAAGTATACCTGGGCATATGTTGAGGCAGATTGTGCTAAATGATGAGTTACTGTCTACCTAACACTACATGAGTCTCATTATGACTCTAAAATGTATAGAATTCATTGAGACTATTTGTCCATTTTGTTCGCATTGTCAGATTATGTGTATATTACCTGTTTAATGGATTTAATTAAAACAGTTGCTTTTGAAACTAAAGGAAAATGCACTGCATGCTTACTAGAATTACACTACATTTTCCCCTGTGTTCAGCTATATGAAGATATTTTTGTGAATGGCTCTGTTTATCTGTACTGGATTTTAAAATTATTGCCACTGTAAGTAATGATGTCACTAGAATGTTTTAAAAACATTAGCACTGGAATTTAATACTTTGATTCAGACTGTCAGATTCTGGGGAGGGTTAGAACAAAACCTAGCAAACTGGGTCATATGGGTGAATTACAAATGAATTGGAGTAAAAAGTATATACTTATTTAAAAATGCAGTCAAGAAGAGAGTAAAAGTTGCTAATGTTTTTGATACTCGGTACAACTGAAAAGTAGTTAAAGATACCCAAATACAGTAACTAATTGCCTTTATTCATATACTTTACACCACTGGTTGATTTGGATGGAAGCATATGGCATATGCATATATGCAAATTGGGTTGATTATAATTGGGGCTTGTTATTATGAGATTCACCTGCATTTATGATATTGAATCATGAAATCTTTCTGAACTCATAGTTTCTGAAAGATGAGGAGAATGTTTTGACTTGATTGTGAAATGAATCTACAGCCTGTTACATAGTGGTTTTGTGACTTTTGTAAAAACAGGGTTTGTGAGATTATTTGAAACACAAGCTGATTTATTGAATCCATGTGGTTGTGATAATGCTTTTTCACTTTACACTTTCCTGATGTGTATAACTTTAATATATCATAATATGTTTGTTTTCAGTTGGCTAAAGTTTTGGACTGTCTTTGTGAAAGGTGAAGTCCAAAGAAAAGCAAAAGACTGTATTTAAATTGGCTTTCACTGGCTTTAGTATTGAAAATGTGCAGATCTAAAAGATTCCCTTTTTTCTGAGATGGTCCTCACTGCAGAGCATAAAATCCACGGGGAGGAGTCAGAGCCACTTCCAACTCCTCCCACCTTACGTATACCTAAACCTACCCTGCTCTACCCCCTGAACCCTAAACCTACCCAGCCCCGCCCCTGATCCCTAAACCTACCCAGCTCCACCCCCTGAACCCTAAACCTACCCAGCTCCACCCCCTGAACCCTAAACCCACCCCTAAACCTACCCAGCTCCACCCACTGATCCCTAAACCCACCCCTAAACCTACCCAGCTCCACCTACTGATCCCTAAACCTACCCAGCCCCGCCCCCTGAACCCTAAACCCACCCCTAAACCTACCCAGCCCCGCCTCCTGATCCTAAACCCACCCCTAAACCTATCCAACTCCACCCCTCAGATCTGGATCCGACTCCGCCCCCTGGATCTTGTGTACTGCAATGAGGTGCTACTGTTTTTTCTAGCACTTGTAATTTAGTCAGAATTTTAGCCCAGCTTAAACTTTTGGTCAATCATTGACTAGTAGTGCCATAAATAAAATATGTAATACATTTTCGTGCATTTTCTCATAAAACTGTGTTGTAAAAATGACATTTTATGGTAAAATGAAAATTCACATATTCACACAATCATTTTGTTATCACCGGAAAGTATAGTTTTTCTCAGTAAATATGTATCTAATAATGGCATACTTGGGGGGGGGGGGATGGTTAGAACAAATATTTTTAACTGGATCTGCTTATCTTATTTGGGCAGAACCTTCTTGGTTTTTTATTATTTAATTCTAATGTTCCCATGTTTCTGTGTCATTTCGTAATATTAATTTTACAGTATCTTATTTAACAAATGTAATAAGAACAATTTACATTGTTTTCCAAGATGGTGGTATTGGAAACAATAAATTTTATATGTTTTTGTATGTGTGGTAAGCCTGTGTCTATGTCTGACTCTTTTCTAGACCCTACTCATTAATAAAGTGTTATTAATTGTCTCCAATATTTAATTATCACCAACCTATAAGGATCATGTGCAGCATGTTTTTAATGTGTTTTAAAGTTTTGTACTTTTTAAAAATAAAATACTATTGGAGTGTTAAAAAACAATAACAAACCTTATTATTCATTAGTTCATATTATCAATTTAATATGAACTTCATAAACATCAGCAATACACTAAATGTTAATTCAATTTGATTTTTTATAGAATTTATTTAAATATGTACTTTTACGTGACAGCATTTGCTTTTACGTTTGATAATGTCAATTTGTGGCTACCTGTACACATTTCTCGTGCAGTTATAAGTTTGGACGTTAGATGGCGCTAGAGGCATGATGTGTATGAAACATGTTACGAAAGGTGTAATAGTTTCTGTTGATCTGTTGATGAGGGTCTTGAGTTAATTGTGAAAATTACATAGAAATGAATACTTACTCATATTATAGAGCTGTACAGCAACTGTTCGGTTATGTGCCAGTCACGTGACATGGTTAGGCTACAGATTAGCCTTTGCCTGAGTCTTCATGGTTTATAGTGGATCTTTATTTCAGAAGATATGATTCAACGCTGTATTTCAATGATGCCCTTTTAAAGGTGAATTTATTTCTTGAAACCCACCAACAAATAGTAAAGTATAAATATGAGATGTGAATTGTAACATTAGTACCCTAGCTATATAATACAGATTTCATGAATACACACTTAACTAAATTTCAGGGTTGTGTCCACCTCGAGACCTTGCTGGGAATGAAACTGCGATGTCTAAATCACCTTAATTGCACTTGCTTATACAACCCTCCTTCTTCTTCCTTTGGGAAGCAGCATGGTTAATCTGAGCAGATTAGGATCTGCTGTGTTTTCTTAATCCCACCACGATTAAAATAGGATTAGAACTCATCTCCTGGCCTCAGTATCACAGTAACTGCTCAGTGGCACTGCCACTCTGTCTTTCTGTCCCATGGAACAAAGGAACAGCAATAGGGGTCACTGTGTTTTGAAGTCGCATAATGTCATTGCATTGCTCACTCACTACCAAATTCTATATAGGCCTACACATATATGCACAAAATGTATGGCCATATTTTAACAGCAAAAAAAAAAAAAGTATGGGTTTGAAACTGTTTTAGTCTATGGTTTGAAATGAAGATAAGATCACATTGTAGGGGTAGGGCAGTAGGCCTATGATAAATCCATGCACTTTTTTCTTTTTTTTTTTTTTTTGCAAGTGCCCTTGTAATCTTTAATCAAAAATAACAACATTTATCTTGCAACAACATGATGACGTGTTTACTGGCACGAGGGCGGGACAACATGTCACTCACATGACTTCACAGCAATGGTCCGGGCCGACATGTAACATGCTACTGTAACAGTAAACTGTAACTTCTAGCAGCCTACAGTATTTTGCTGATAATTTACTCACCCCCATGTCATCCAAGATATCCATGTCATTCTTTCTTCAGTCGACAAGAAATTAAGGTTTTTGATGAAAACATTCCAGGATTATCTCGATATAATGCACTAGCTGGTAACCATACGGTTCAAGGTCAAGGTTCAGGTTTCAGTGCAAACTGTTCAAAGGGCTTTAAACGATTCCAGACGATTAATAAGGGTCTTATCAAGCGAAACGATTGCTCATTTAAAAAATAAATTTATAAGCTCAAATGTTCGCCTTGCTCTGTTCTGTGATGACACGAAAAAATGACATGAAAAAAGATTTGTTCATTTTGATAAACGAGTTCAAACAGGAGAGTCACAAACGCGCATCACAGAACTTAAAACTTAAACTTTGCACTGAAACTGTCTTTTGAACCTTGAACCGTTTGGTTACCAGTAAAGTGCATTATATGGAGAAAAATGCTGGAATGTTTTCATTAAAAACCTTAATTTCTTTTTGACTGAAGAAAGAATGACATGGATATCTTGGATGACATGGGGTTGAGTAAATTATCAGCAAAAGTTTTTTTTAAGTGAACTACTCCTTTAAAGGTGCGCTAGCTCTCTATCGCCATCTATGGTTGGTTAAACATTACAAGTCCACTTAAGCGGACGACACCAAAGAGTCTGCTTTTACGAAAAAAAATAAGGTGGACGGACATGACACCTATATTAGTGTCATTCATTCAACACCATGAGCCACTCACTGTAAGAAAGTCGCATTCGAAAATAAGAAAGTAATTAGCGTTTTTGCTGCTAAAGTAACCAGACCTTCTTTTCTTTACTTATGAAGACACGAGGAATGACGTGAACGCTGATTTTTAATCTATTCACTATTAATATTTTTATATTCACTCATGTTTTTTGCATTTTTATATGTGTCTTTATATAACTGTGATTGTATGAATATTGACCCTAGTTACTAAAAAAAAGACACTTGACATGCGGCTTTATTATATTTGTGGTTATGGATTCATCTTCATAGACACACAGCTGGGGTCAGAGTTCACTGTTGAATTCAGGAGGATTGTGATGCATTTACGAGCATCTTGAACAAGAAAAAAATGAAGGGCTGGACTTCATTTTGTTTAGCAGGAATTGATTGGATTATTGGATGGTTGTTGTTTGCTATTGCTGTGATGTCATATGAGTGACAGGTTGTCTCACTCTTCGCCAGTAAAAACAAGAGAAGATGATCAGGGATGTTGTTGCAAGAGGGAATAATATTTTCATTTTACATAAGTGCTGCAATGTTCTATAAAAAAATAAAAATGGTCAATTCTGACTTCATGGTGACTTCTTGTCACCAACTAATGAGTGTAAAATATAGTTACAACATTGAATGTAGGCCTATGCCATCCTAAACCAACCACGGGCAAACTAAATTAAACTGCTGTGTTTGTACAGTGTAGTGTGAATCTCCAGAGCATCAAGAACCGCAGAAGGAGGATGTTTCACCCTGCACAACAGAGTTAGCCACAGGTCAGTTGTGTTTGCACACTCTACATGATTTTCCATGTAACTGCAAGGACCAGACTCCTGGGCCATTTCCTGGAAGATTGTGTGGTTGATTGGAGGTGGAATTAGTCAATAGTTAAGCTGAAATGTCCTCTATGCAGGGCAGGGTCAGGTTCAGCTGCATCCAGAATGCTGCGCTCACATGCTATTTAAAGCCTAGCGAAAGCTCTGGCCTTACAGGCCTAATCTTCTCCTCACAAAGATGCATTAATCTATGGCTTCAATCTATGGGGCTGGATGACAGCTTTAGGTCCAGCAAGAGTGGGATGGGTTACAGCTGCTTCAGGACTCAGGATGGTATTGGCGTATCTCTTGCCCTTGCGTGTGGAGATCGCTGACATGCATCTGTCTGGGAACAGGCCCTTGGTTTAGCTGAAAGCGAGGGATGGAGTGGGAGGGGAGAGGTGTACAGATTTCATAACATTTGCCATGTCTTAAGAGAGTGGCTAAAGGTAATCTTAACCCTGCAACACAGATGACCACTCAAGAGTGAGATCATAGCTAAAGATGACTATTTTAGACTAGTACTTGAACACAGAGAAAGAAAAGATGTTCATACTGTATAATTGGGGAAAAAATCATATAAGCCTCGCAAAATATAATGTTTTTTATCCATGCAACCTACTTCTCCAACTGCTAACATTTATAATTCAAAGTATCATGTCAAAGTATAAAGTGTAACACAACAGGTGCTTACATTATTTAACAAAGATTGTGCTAATTGTTTTATGCCATGCATTTTATCATCTCATAATGATTGAGAGTATGTGGAATATTTGCGCTTTAACAAAATTGCCCATTGACACAATATGTGTTCTTTACACCATTGCAGGTTCCCAACTTGGCAATGACAGAACGAATGGGTAAGGGATGGGACAAGGAAGGAGAGAGTGAGTTGGGGGAGGGAGCGAGAGAGGAAAGATCAGACCTCCCCTTTAACCTGTGGCAGCAGTAGCAGCATTCTTGATCCATGACAGTGAAACAGCAAGTGGTGTCCATAAGTCTGTGGGATTCTTCTGAGAGGTTCACCATACACATACACAGTAAACCACCAGATGTGAAGGTAAATGTATTATTTAATAGTGGTATTCTAGCATTTGGCATGTTCTGTGTTTGTGTTTTTATTATTTCTTAATGACGAGTTTTTCATGTAAGTGTATATGATCTATAAGCCCGATGCAAAAATGCAAAGAAAGACGTAAGGTAATTCTATTAAATTAATGTGAAATGTTGGGATGATTATTTATTCTATTTAACTTGGAGATTTTCTATAAATATGTCTTTAAATCAAGGTCACCGATGCAAGTGGTGTGCTTTTACTGTGCTCGTGCATTTACTGATTTGTTTCTTAATATTCATATCATGCAGATATGATTACTGATTAAGCATATGTATTAAGCATATGAGTGTGTGATACAGAATGTACTGGGATATACTGTGAGTTAGGGTAAAAGTAAAGGCTGTGTAAATCAGGATAACAGTGGCCTATAGATCCGATTAAATCCTTAACTTGACAGATGGACTCAACAGAGGAAGCAGCCAGGAGTTTTAAAATTTGAAAGCTATTAATTCATAAAAATGCCAATGAGTTCTTAATGGTTAAAATATAAATTATTGTTCTGACCTGGATGAGTCATGCTGAAGCTGTAAATCTTTCTACAGAGCTATATTACTTGGTGGAAAAATGGCTTAATTTGATCATTTTTAGATTTTAATTATTATTATTATTAGTTGATTTTAATTATTTATAATAGAAATATAGATTTTTTTTCTATAATAAATATAACTATATATATAATCTTATTGTTGATATTGCTAATGAAATAAGCCATGCAACACTTATTTTGCTTGGATTAATATCTCATGTGTGAATGAGTTATTACTTTATAAGTTGTCTGCATTGTGAGAGTACAGGACCTGTCTGCCAGATTATAGTGGTTATATATTGGTTTATGGCACATTAGCACATGTCCTCCTGTAACCTATTCAGATCAGAACAAAAGTGGCTGCACACTGTGATTGTTACATTTTTGATTTACAGACACTACAGAGCTGAATTATTGGCAATGTTAACTGTAAATAACGGTCATATCATTCAATGGTTTAGACTGTTTTAGATTGGTAATCTCATGTGATTGGATTCTATTTTAGGACTCACGTGGTAGCCTATATAGGCCTCCGAAAAGGAGAACCGATAACTTGTGAGGTGTCTAATATAATTTGATATACAGTATCAGGGTGATCTAAAGTGACCTTTTCATGACCTGTTGGATGGCTTTGTGGTTTAATGATATGCATGTGAAAATATGTCCTAACATGTAAATGAATTGGTTTTATTCAAGACCAATATGACTGAATCATTCTGACATTTGTATAAGATGCATGCCTTTGGTGTGAGAGACCCGGGTTCGAATCCACTGTGAGACACCAATGTGTCCCTGAGCAAGACATTTAACCCCTAGTTGCTCCAGAGACGTGCGACTTCTGACATATATAGCAATTGTAAGTTGCTTTGGATAAAAACGTCAGCTAAATGAATAAATGTAAATTTGTACTTAAAGGGATAGTCCACTTTTTTAGGGGATAGGCTCAATTTACATCTCCCCCAGAGTTAAACAGTTGAGTTTTACCATTTTCGAATCCATTCAGACGATTTTCTGATATTTAGAAGACTATCAGTAACCAGACAGTTTCTGGTCTCATTGACTTCCATAGTATATATTTTTTTCCTACTATGAAAGTCAAAATTGGCTGGATGGATTAGAAAACGGTAAAACTCAAACAATTTAACCCTGAGGGAGTTGTAAAATGAGCCTATTTCCCCAAAAAAGTGGAGTATCCCTTTAAGTCAGATCTGGTGGACAAAGCTAACAAGTGCATGTTGCTTCTTACAACATGGCAATTAACATGGCAAATTAGTTTTGAACTGTGAAACTATGGGAAGATAAAAATGGTCTATCGCCAAAGCATTGACATCATTTAAATTATTCAAAGTTACAGTAGGAAGTGAGGTGAGAAAAGTTAAGCTCTCTGTTGCTCTGTTGACAGTCCAGTCCACACCGATTACTGTAGATCTACAGCGCACTATTATACTGCGAAAGAGAGCTTGTGTGCCAAACCAAAACCACAGCATCTGTCTTTTCCATCTTTGATTAGTGAACCTGTAGTATTAAAAATGTTGCTAGATTTACTGCAAAGACTAGGGATGCACGATATATCGGCCAGCATATCGGTATCGGCCGATATATGTTCATTTTTAATGTTATCGTTATCGGCCTGCTAAGAAATTGTGGCCGATATATTAAAACCGATAAATAATGTATTATTCCCTTCAGCTGAGACACTTGTTGAGAACTGTTTATGTTTTTGAATTTCTTGAAATATGATTGAAATCTCTTCAAAAAATGAAAATATGGTTTCGGGACAACTGTCATATCGGCTATACAACACTATAATGAGAACATCATTATAATTGTGCGCTTGGGACGTGGATTTAATTGTGAGACTTTTGTTTTTGTAATCAGGCTCTCAAAATTAGATAAAAATTTAGATTTAAGTTTATCGGCCGATGTATCGGTTATCGGCTTTCAAATATAAAAAATTATTGGTTATCGGTATCGGCCAAAATTTTCAAATTGGTGCATCCCTAGCAAAGACAGATGCAGATCTAGAAGTTAATAGCTAACAGCAAGGTGACAGCCAGATACCTGATTGGCTGTGGAAAGCATCTGTTATGTTAATCCTACTTAAATGTATCCTACTTAAAGGGATACTCCACTTTTTTTGGAAATAGGCTCATTTTACAACTCCCCCAGAGTTAAACAGTTGGGTTTTACCGTTTTCAAATCCATTCAGCCGATTTTCTGATATTTAGAAGAACCATACAGTTTCTGGTCTCATTGACTTCCATAGTATGAAAAAAAATATACTACTCAATGAGACCAGAAACTGTCTGGTTACTGATATTCTTCTAAATATCAGAAAATCGGCTGAATGGATTCGAAAATGGTAAAACCCAACTGTTTAACTCTGGGGGAGTGGTAAAATGAGCCCATTTCCCAAAAAAGTGCCTTTAAAATGAATATTTATGCCATTCAGTCATACTAAAATGTTATATTTTGGTATCACTGACTGGTAATTATGATATTTGTTCAAAATAATAATCTTTCTCTCTCACACACTCTTTGCATTATGTTGTGTTTCAGAGATTATTATGAGGAAACCATTAGAGATTCTGGACCCTACGAGGAATCGGGGAGTGCATTGTTCCTGTCAGGTTTAAGTAGAGTCGGAGTGTAACCATGACCGGCACTCCATAGACTTCGGACCACCGGACCCCCGAGCTGCCCGTCAACAATGGATCCCACATTCCCCAGCATCAAACTGGGGTCAGATTGCACCCCTCTGGAGCGGAACAGCAAGCGCCACCGATTGCAGCACGTCAGGAGGAAACTACGCCCTTCACGGATTTTTGGTTTTATCCTGAGCCTCTCTGCCCTCACATTGTTCCTGTCCTGGAGTGCCTTTACCCTCACTTTGGGCCCGTTCCCGAGATGGATGCCACTCACCTCTTTCGCCAACCATGAGGGACTTGCAGAGCCAGTGCCACACAGAACTGTCCTGTCTTCCAAAGAAGAGCATAACGTTTCAGCGGATACGCCCATCGCCATGGCCTCAACCGACGAACACAGCCAGGGCGACTACCCTGAGGATCTGTTCACACTGGAGCAGAGGAGGCAGGGTGCTGTCTCGCTGCATATGTTCGGCATGATCTACATGTTCGTCGCCCTCGCTATCGTGTGCGACGAGTTCTTCGTTCCCGCCCTCACCGTGATCACAGAAAAACTGGAGATCTCGGACGACGTGGCGGGCGCCACCTTCATGGCCGCTGGAGGGTCCGCACCCGAGCTCTTCACCTCTGTGATCGGGGTGTTCGTCTCACACAGCAACGTGGGCATCGGGACCATTGTGGGTTCTGCTGTCTTCAACATCTTGTTCGTGATCGGGATGTGCGCTCTGTTTTCACGTGAAATTCTCAACCTCACTTGGTGGCCTCTGTTTAGAGATGTCACCTTTTATATCATTGGACTTATTATGCTGATCGTCTTCTTCCTGGATAACCACATTACCTATTTTGAGAGCATTGCGCTGTTGGGCTGTTATGCTTCCTATGTCACATTTATGAAGTACAACGTGTCCGTAGAGACTTTGATAAAGACTAAACTACTCAGGAATCAAGTGGACGACATTGAAGCTCCTAAGGTGAGTTGCATCACTCCAGATGAATTATTTGCTTTCCAGGTCAAAGAGGTATTCAGTGGACGTGAGTTACAGATGTCTCTCCTTCCACTCCTGTTAGGAAACAGTATATCACTGTGGTTCTTAACCAGTGGGGCTCAGCAAACATATATAAAGTAGATAAAGTTTATATTATTTACAGCGGGGCCATTTAAGTCAAAAAGGTTGAGAACCACTGGTATATTATGAAGATGGATTTGATGTGCTATAACTAGTATTTAACTATAACTTTGCTCTAAAAGACACTATTGTGCAATAGCGACACTTTGAAATAAGCACTTATGCCCCCAAAGAGACAATAGTGATGGTATTTAAAAAATATATATGATGGATGGGTATAATAAGAGGTGGAAGGTAAAACTATATTTCCATGCTTTTGCCAGTGAACATGTTCAATAAAAATAAATAGTTTCTTTTTTTAAAGGCAGTATGTTGAATTGCATCTTTTATGCACATTCAGGAAACCAATAGAATGAAAGACATTCTGATATGCATGTGAACAACGTAGATGGCAACATCTACGGCAGTGGTTCTCAACTGGTTTGGCCATGGGACACACATTTTCCCATGGTCATTAAGCCATTAACTCATTTTTCTCAGGCTATCCATCTGAGAAAAAGGAGTGTCAACAGCTTAAACACAAGTCTTTCAAAATAAAAGTCTTGCGACTCACTTTTGGCCGTGACCCACCAGTTGAGAAACACCGATTTACCCTATGTGAATGTAGCGAGGAGCCGATGCTCATTGGTTTTTATGGTGGATTTCATGAATTCCTAGGGTTGTTGAGCAGTTACAACAGAACTAAGGAGATGATTGCAGCAGCAATGGGAGTTGAACGCAAATATTGGCTGAGAATTAGCGTTCCCAATAAAAAGAACACTGACAGTTTTATCACCTCTCTGAGCCGGATTAGGCTTTCTATCAGGTGTCACCTGGACAAAGCAGACAACACTGCTCTGAGTACACAATCAGCTGAGTAAGTCCAGCACCCATGTGGTACCAACAGGGACAGACAGCAGAAAAATAGACCAAGAGTAGTAGAGATGAGGCAAGATGGAGGTATAAAGGAAGAAATTTGGTAAAAATCTAAAAAGCCTTTTAGCAGCCAGACATCTCACGAGGGATGGATATCTATATTTGTATTTTCTTGGGTCAATTAACTTTGTTGATATTACCTCAGAGACTTCTTAGGGTTGGTTTTGTGGCAATCAGTCTTGTTTTGCAGTGAAATAATATCTAATATTTAAAATATCTAAAAAAAAATTACATACAATACAAAACATTTAATAGGTGACTCACTGGTATTGCACCACACTTTGCCTATAGGTTTTGACAACAGCATAATAATAGCATTATCCAGCCAACAAATAAACATAGGCTCACTTTTTTAAACTTAACCCACAAAGGAGCAGCATACAAAGAAGTAATTTTCTCTAAAAAGGGTTATCTTAACCTGATCTGGACACACATACAAATTTCTCACCAACATATTAGCTTGGGCATATAACTTACAATGCTGCCTATACATATCTTCATCATCACAAATTTCATCATTAAAGGGATGCACTTTTTTTGGAAATAGGCTCATTTTACAACTCCCTCAGAGTTAAACAGTTGGGTTTTACCGTTTTCAAATCATTTCAGCCGATTTTCTGATATTTAGAAGAATATCAGTAACCAGACAGTTTCTGGTCTCATTGAATACTTTTTTCCTACTATGGAAGTCAATGAGACCAGAAACTGTCAGTTTATGGTACTGATATTCTTCTAAATATCAGAAAATCGACTGTAATGATTCGAAAATGGTAAAACTCAACTGTTTAACTCTGGGGGAGTGGTAAAATGAGCCTATTTCCCAAAAAAGTGGAGTATCCCTTTAATGATATGCCCCTCATATTTTGTTTTAGTGCATACATTTAGTACCCCTATCCCTGTTAGTTCTACATATCATGGAAACAATGTTTTTTTTGCATTATATTTAACATCATATTTAATCCGATATTCAGAATATATATTTAACAGCTGTTGAAAGCTAGTACTACTCATAGAAGAAATGACCAAATCATCAGTAAGTAAGATGACTGATTAAGAAATTACCAAGCATACATCAAGTCTTACATTCACTTAATTGTTCTGACAATTCATTCATATAAACGTTAAAAAGGGCTGGTGAGAGTAGATCTCCCTGCCATGTTTAATTTCCTGAGACACAATTATTACCCCATTTTATTGTCATACTCTGATTAGTGCACCAATTTACCAAAATTCTTAGTATGCTATATTAGCACACCTCTTGTCTTATTAACTCTATCAAAAGCCTTAGAGGCGTCAATAAAACCAGTTATAACCGAGGAAGAATTTTTGGTTTTAAGCATAAACCTCACAAAATGTTGTATTAATGTGTTTAAACTAAACTTGCCAGCACGGTAAGATCAATAAACTTACAATAAAGATATATTAACAGCAGTTTTTGCAATCTTGTTTTAAAATGTATAGATTTTTTTACTGGGGAAAAAAATATACAAATAGTGATTAGGTCATAATAATAACACAGAGCAAAACGTCTAGAGATTCACATCAACTGTTTACTGAACCGTTCAAATGTTTCGTGTGTGTGTGTGGGTATATTATGAGTCCATTATAGGAAAAACACTGCAAACAACAACTGGGTGGAGTTATTTCTCTATCAAATACGCATTATTAATAAGCATATATCTACACAGTATATGCAGCTGATTTTTATATTTCCAGTAGATCTTGATTCTATTACAATTCTTTGAATTGGACAAGACAAATTAGCCACATATACTGTATAAATGCAGTTTATAAAAGCCAAATTTATATGCAGAAGTCACTAATCCACCAAAAAATGGTTTTGTGGCCACTGTATATATTAACCCACAACTATATAAATAATGTATGATTGTATGCCATGCATTGTCAAATTAACATGACTCTGGATATATCAGTTTAGTGAAATGTATTTTTGATCTAGTTTAGGCCCATATGAAGCCAGTTAAGGTTTAAAGCTGTCGTTTGTATCTTGTCCAACAGCTGGAGTCGGATTTGTTGTTTGCAGATGCAGTTTGTCCCACATATGGAACACAGGTGAATCAGGCTACCGCGCTGCTTTGATAGGCTTCTTAGAAATGCTTCAGGGCCATTTACATTACTTTTAAGAACCATTAGTAGCATGTTATCTATACAAACCCACATTCATTAGTGTTAGATGGCTCTTTGTTGGTAGATTGCTTTTTAAATGTAGGAATGTCATCTCAGTACGTTGGGAATATGATTCCAGAAAGCTTGTTGTTTCCCACTTTTCATTCAGAATTGATTTGACAGGTAGGCACTTTACAAATGATTTTCACCCTTCTGGATTGGAATGAAAAATGGCTTTGGTTTAGAAAGACTTCTAAAATTAAAATGAATAGTCAGGGGGTTGGTATAGGGCAGTTGGGACATGTGCTCTTTGCTCCTTTAGCCGAAGCTCGGGTTAATCCAATAAGACGTGATCCTTTTAGTACTGCTAAGTATAGACAGGTGTCCTGTTCTTTTTTAAACAGGACTCAAATATAGAGTATTGTGGGAAAGCAGCAGGTTTTTGAATCACGATATCAGATATCTTTCTAAGACCTTTGTATCTGTTAGTGTGTAATGTAAGTTCAGAAACGTGGCGGATATCTTCATCTCTGTTTGAAGTTTATGACTCCCTACCTGAAATCCTTTGTAATCCCAAATCAACTGCTTAGTTCAGGGTGACGCCAACCAAAGTAAAAAGACTCTTAGTGCTTAGGGAAGTGACCTCCCTTCTGAAGAAGACTTTTGAGGGAATAGGGAACGTCCTACAATAGACAGTTTTTAATCATTAATAATTACACCGTGCTGCGCCACTCTGGATTTGAAACCTTTTAAATGATTTATATGCATTTTAGGTGATAAAGTTAAAAATAATACAAACACTTCTTGAGAAAACAGTGCATAGTTATTAAATGTCATTGCCAAATTGGTTTCGTAATTCATTTTGTGGTGTTGTATAGGCTACTATTCAAAGTGCCCTCTGACTTATAAAAAACAAGTAGTGCATTTGATTTTCTAGTTATGTAGTATGTTAATGCTTAAGCATAATTCTAAGTGCTGAAAAGTAAAGAGGGGACAGTGTGAGAAGGTGTCAATTGTTGTGTGAGGTAATTTGCGAATCCTTAAATGCATCTGTCTCTAAAATTGGTTACCTGTCACCTTAAGCCTCTTTAGTGTGCTCACCTGCCTTCTCTGGTTAACTACTGGACCCTTGTTGAGAGACACTATAGAGGCAATTCAAGTTGACCCATGTCAACTCTGAAATGATCTCCACAAGATTATCGACCTTGTAAACAGTCTGTCTGTCTGGGTTTTTCACAGATGTGTGCAAAAACAGTTGCAGAATTGAGCCCAATTGGATATTTTGAAACAAAGATGATTCAGCATCTCCAGTGTCTTTGTTACATCATGCCGCATTATCTTCATTAGTAAAGGCATCAGGCCAGGAGACTAATGGGAACGGACTAATGTAAAGGACAGTCTATATATCCATTGTTATACTGACTGATGCAGTCTGGTGGAGTTACTTTAGACTGATCTCATGAAATTGTGCCAATTTGTATTTCCATTTTTGGCGTGCTATCAACACGCATAATCGCTTTTCAGCGTGTTCATGAATGCCGTTGACTTAACGTTATTACTGTATGTATAAATATATGACCTACCTCAACCCTGTCCCTAAACCTACCTGTCACTGGGGTTAATAGCTTTATGTGTGTGAGTGTTCCCCTACCATCCTAGGAAAAAAAATATCGCTCCCCAGATGTAGATCTACATTTTGCTTCGTTTCGCTCGGACATTTAATGGCGTGTACATACACTCGGAATCACTCGGACATTAATGGCGTAGACTTACACGCATACACATGGATACACGCGGATAGCTCAAAATGCGTATAGATAACAAGCCACTTGACTTGAAAGTTTACGCAAAAGTCATGATGAAATGTTGCATGTTGCTGTTTAATTACAGTAGGTTTAGTCTTTTAAATAATTTGTGAATTTGGAAATATATATATATATATATATATATATATATATGAAGAGTTCAGATGCAAAAGCCTCTAAATGCCATTTGAAATTTTCTTCTTTAATGATGATTTTTATCAAACTTGTATATTTAAGTTCAGTAATTTCACTTAAATGGCAATGATAATTACCTATTAATTGTTATTTAAGTGAAATTACTGAACTTAAATATACAAGTTTGCTAAAAATCATCATTAAAGAAGAAAATTTCAAATGGCATTTAGAGGCTTTTGCATCTGAACTCTTCATATAGTGCTTGCTTGCAGTACTATATATAGTACTGTAATGGTGACATTGCATGGATCCAGCTAATTGCTAAAACTGTTACTCTGCAAATGTCATTATGCTGCTCTTGATAAGACTGGCCTTGATCCCGTTGACTTCAATTTCAGCAGCATCTGTGCCTTGTGTAAGGGTACTTGACATGCCAAATACAATGACAAAGTTATATAACATTTGTTAAATGTGCTTTGGCTTTGCAATGTTTGTTTGTTTTTTACCTCCACAATGAATCCATTTTTAGTCATGCATAAAGTTTTCAGAATTTAAGGTTTCACAAGGTCAGTTGTTTATTTTCTAACATTTTCACGTGATGTCGACAGGTCATCCAGCTAATGCGTATTGTGTGCATGACTGGTGAAACATCTAGAAATCATTTTATATGGTAGCTCTTCAACAAGGTTGATTCTTTTCCTTTGTGGACGACTCTTAAAAACATGAAATGGACTTATATTTTTTTCCAGTCCTCTGCCTTTCACATCTCAGCTAGTCGCTAAAAATGTGCATGTTGCGGTGGTGCCATCAGCCCATCAGTACTGTAATTTTCCTGCAACTTTTTTTACCTGCAAATCTGCAGTGATTTATGATTCAAGCTTAAAAAAAAAGTCAGGGCAAAGATGATTTTGAATCGCATATTCATGCAACTGCCTTTGTGATGAATGGGGACAGTCTCTGCAATGTGCTACTTTGTAAAAGAAATGCAGTAAAATATATACTATTTCAAAAAATGATTTGGTGTTTGCTACACCAGTCATTTTAACTGAGCTTGATAAAGTTGTAAAATAAGGATGTTCACAAGATTGCTTTTTTTAATGAGTTTTACAACGTGAATGTGCACAAGTATCTGCGCTAAACTTTTAAAAATACAGATTCGAAAACACGGTTTTCGTAGCGATTCAAACGAAGAACCATTTTGGATTCCTAGGGGAGGATAGGAGACATTTTGTCTTAGTGTGAAGAGTATTTTAATAACCTGAAGTGTAATAGGTGGTAAAATATCACCTTCAAGAATGATAACTAAAATTAACGTTATATGAGAATAGCGAAGTCCACGCCACAACTATAACAATAGGCTAATAAATGATCGACGGAGGAAAATTATATTTTTGGAATCGCATTTTTTTTTTTTTTTTGACGGCCAATCAGAATCCATCTGACTGTGAGCTGCAGGTATGAATAAACACAACGCTAATATAATTTTCATTCTTGCCGCGAACGGCCTTAACTCATTGTTGGCCTAACAGCTGGTCCGTTAATGTCTCCTGTTGGCTGACCTCTGCTTTAAAGCTTGCTGAGCACACTGAGCTCAGCCCTATTTCCACAGGCATCGCTCGGAGCTTATCTTCCACCTGCAGAAAGACCAAAGCTGGGGACGGAGGAGCACGAACAGCGAGCAAATGGCAGGGCCGCTAATCACAAGCGAAACGTGCTTAAGCCCTCTATGTTCTACTGGGCTGATTAGGCTTAATTAAGGCTGCTCGTGTGTCTCTGCGGAGCCAACTCATTTTCTCACGAGGACACTGTGCTGCTGCTGCCACCCCACTGGGCAACTGCTTATTTCAGTACAGCTTATTTAAACCCTTTAGGAGAAGAGCTTTCACATCTGAAACTCATTTGGGAAAGTAAAGTATTATTGTAAAGTGTATATGTATTTAAAATGTTTTAACTATATTTAATTCTCTCTTATGAAAGTTCCAAAAAAAAAAAAAAATCAGACTTTTTTCGCTAAAATTATATTATTCATTCTATAATTTATATTATAAAAACTTTAATAAAATTTGTATATATAAATATGAATAAAAAACATTTCTATAATATAATATTTAAAAAAAAGTTCCTCTCAAGTTTTAGTGTAGTATTATATGGTTGACTTACTACATATTTATTATGTATGGTATTAAATGCAGTACTTTTTTGTTTGGAAGGATGTAATGCCAGAGGCCACATCTGTATGAGATTTCGAGATTTTGGTTTTAGTGGTGTCTTTTGAAACTGTTATTGATGGTATTTTGGATGGCTGGTCAAAATTCTATGTTACGTCTTCTTATACAATACTTAAGTGCTATTTAGGGTCATGTAGAGGCAGAAGACCAGAACTACAGCAGGTCTTAGCTGTTTTTAGCTCTTCTGTGTAACGGCTTATCATATTCTTGGTTACCTACACGTTGACAGATTGATCTGATCTATTTTAAAGGTGCATGGCCTTAAAAGCCCTCTTTGTTTTTGTTCAGTTTTTTTAAGGTCATGAGGAATCCAGTTCTGTTTATACATTTTGTTTGTATGTACTGCCATATGTACTGGTCATATATAGTTAATGGTTTAAATATTGCTACTTTTATTATTTATTATCATTACTTAAAAATACACACCCCACTAGGATCTTGAATTGTTATAAAAAAAATAATGCTTAAACTAATTAAATTTTTTTAACTAAGTTTTGTGGTATATATTTATATTAGTATAATAATAATAATGCATCCGTTTCCACAAAAATGTTTAGCACCACAACTATTTTTAACATTGTTAATCATGATGATAATAATAATATCAGAGTGTGTGACACTGAAGACTGGAGTAATGATGCTGAAAAGTCAGCTTTGCAATTACATGAATAAATTACATTTTAAAATATTAAAATATAACACAGTAATTTGAATTGTAATGTACAATTTTTTTTATTAAAAAAATGCAGACTTGATGAGCTTTGAAGATGCATTTTTTAAATCTTATGTTTGTGTGTGTGCATGTGTGTGTGTGTGTGTATATATATATATATATATATATATATATACAATTAAACTTGAAATGGAGATTAGAATACCATTGCTGCTAACATTTCTACTAATATAGTCTAGATCCATTTAATGCTGGAGATGTTGCTGTTTGTAGGAGGAGCCTACAATTTAACTATCTATTTAAGAATATGTATTTTAGGTCTAAACTAATTGTTAATTTGACAACCCTCCCTCCCTACTCTTTTTGATAAGAAACTACTTTTCAATGAATTCAATGAGTTCTGTTTTCTCTTTTTTTCCCTCAAGGTTATGACTGAAGTAGTCGATGAAGAAAATAAACTTTCTGTAAGTATCAACATCCGCTTTTCAGCATAATTTTGGTAACAATAGACACTACTATTAGATATATCTGACGATATTTCTTCTCCTTTTTTCCCTATAGGCTAAACCCCGCCTCCAGAGAGGAGGAAGCTCCGCCTCCCTCCACAACACTCTCATGAGAAACAGCATTTTCCAACTAATGATTCACACACTCGATCCTCTCAGTGACGGTAATGTGCCTCTCAGTGATGGTAATAAATTTACAAATATGCACACATATTGACCCATTTTGTAGATTTGTAGTCTTATTAATTAAATAATAAACTTCAGGGAAGTTCAAGGAGAAGGCATCAATTCTACACAAGATCGCAAGAAAAAAGGGAGAAGATGAGGCAAATGGTGTTGGTGAGTTTAAATGTTTTGTTAAAATTCAACGTGTAACACTTGTAACAATTTTGTGTAAAATCTGGATGATCACAGAAGGGTTGGCCATTCATCCATGGAAAAGTGAAAAATTCCCCCCCAAAAAAGTGATTGTTGATATGGTGCCAAAAAGTAATTCCTGATGCAGAACTTCTAAAAGAATACTATAAAGACAAGTATTTTTTTTCTTTGGAAACTTGCAGTTTGCAATGAATTGTGCACAATAACATCAGCAGCAACATTTCGATTTTTTAAAAAAAAAAATCTTCTTCCTATTGTGCCACAGCCTACAACCACACACAATGATTAGTAAATATTTACATCTGTCAAAAGCATTTCAAATCTGCTGATAGTGCTGGGGTTAGTGCTTAAATCACATTATTACATAGTGTAATATTAAAATAAGATTTCAAATGACTAAATTGAGATTCCTGTTGCTTTATTCTCTAGCCGATAAGAACCTTCCCAACAGCAGTAACGTGGAGGTCGAAGTCACTCCGCCCATGAATGGCAGCATTGGAGCAGAGGTGATGTCATCATTCCCAATAATCTAAACACGACCAGATCACCTCAGACACGTTCAGCATACTCCCTTTCAATTTTTAATATATCTAAACCCCTAAGATTCAAATAGAGAGTATGCGCGTGACGTCACCGTCGGCTGGAGTGACTCCAGTTACGCCCACTGAGTGGCAAAAAGACTGAGCGGCAGCATTTGTTTTCAGCGTGAATGCCGCGAAAAACACACAAAACATATCCAATATGGGAAAGAGCTTTGCGATTAACTGTAAAAACTGGATTTGACAAGAAATTTGAGGTATATTTTTACAGACTGCCGAAACTTCAGAAGCAAATGGATCGCTGCAATTCACAGAAACAACTGGCAAGCAGCGAAACATGGATTTGCAGTTAGTTGTTTTTTTCTCAATATGCTGAATCATACCCTAAATTTTGTATTGTTATATATTGTATTGACAACTTTACCATCGGATATTCTGCATAATTTGATGTTTTTTAAATAAACACGGACAAAATATACAAGTTTTAGGGGCTGGATATATAACATTGATGTAAGTGATCAGCCGGATTTAGACCTACCAATATTGCATTTATATAAAGCGTTCACACGTAAATTTCCTTAATGTATTTCCCCAGCGTCTAAATCAGGCACATATAAATGTCAGGAAACACGATTCCTGGCTGCATGTCAATATCCATGGATCACTGGATCTTAGGTAAAGTGTAAGGAACACTGTATCGAGTCCAACATCGATAATCGTTTGTTTTACTCACGTTTTTGCAGTTTCCCCTATTAAATCCCCTATTAAATCCACGCAACAGCTCTTTCCCCACTCAGTCCGGCCGAGGGGGGCGTATTCTGCCAGGAAAGTGACGTCAATGCATACCCTCTATACTAATATTTCACCGGCAACTTACTAACATCAGTGTTTTTGTGGTTTTAATCTCAAAGCCTGAGGAGGAGGAAGAGGATGAAGACCAGCCTCTGAGCTTGGCATGGCCAGACACACCGAGAAAGCAAGCAACATACCTCTTAATCTTACCCATCGTCTTTCCATTGTGGCTGTCACTGCCAGATGTCCGCAGAGATGTATGATCGAATAGCATTTTCTATTTTTGCATTTGAGAAACTGATTTAATGCTGTTTATAACAGCACACAGCAGATCCTGTCATTGTATTTATAGGTGCAACATGCAATTTCTGTGCAATAGTCAGTGCTACTAAAAGAAGTATTCCCTAACACTTGCTATTTTAGACTGTCAAACAAACAGATTGCTTGGTGTTTATATGTTTATATGTACACAGTATATATATTTGAATAGCATGACACCCCTTCCTTAAATTTCCTTCTGTCCTCTTTTCTTCCATAGACGTCAAAAAAGTTCTTCCCCTTTACCTTTTTGGGATCTATTTGTTGGATTGCTGTTTTCTCCTACCTGATGGTGTGGTGGGCTCATCAGGTACCTCAATGTCTTCACACACTCCTGTCCTGTACTAATGCCCTTTCTTTTTCCAATGTATTTAAATTACTGTTAGATATACTCTGAAATTAGGTACACATTTTATTGATGTATGCCTATTTACAGCTGGAAATAATCCGTAGAGGCTAAAGCTGCTCTTATTATCGAAAAGGTTATCAAAATCCACGTTATTATAAACTAATAAACTAAAGTAAACTGTAGGGATACTGTATGTCCAAAAAGGTTGATCTAACCTTATCACTCTGCTTTAAATCTGTAACTTAGAGCAGCACAATAAAACCAGACAAATCCTAAAGCCAATTAACTATTCTTGTCATTTTCAATGGCAACTGTTCTCTAGCTCTGCATAAGCTCCCTCTGTAGTGAGTCAGTGAATCAACTATAACAGTGTTTCACTTAAAAACACACAAAAGAAGATATTCTGAAGAATGTCGGTAACCAAACGGTTGATGGGCCCCATTGATATCAATAGTATTTTTTTTTTCTCTTCATGCTATGGAAGTCAATGGGGCCCATCAAATGTTTGGTTGCCATTCTTCAGAGTATCTTCTTTTGAGTTCAGCAGAAGAAAGAGATTCACACAGGTTTGAAAAAACTTGAGTGTGTGTAAATGATGACAGCATTTTGACTCGATAACTTATAAACACTTTCAGCCCATATTGTTTTAGCTTATTTTTAAAATTGTGTTTAAAAGGTAACTCAGTCTTACAGATCATTTCCTAAATTATGTTGTTTTGGGGTTTAGTTACCCTTTAACAGTGGAATTCCAGGTGGAAAAACTACATCACCCATGATGCTGTACAGAAAATTACACCAATCAGAGAGTCGAGATGCTCCAAAAAAAGCTCTTTAGCTCCGCCCACTCCAATAATGCACTGCAAATGACGTAATGGAGCCACTCTCTCTACGCTTTCAAAAGGCAGAAATGTTTAAATATATGCAAATTTTTAAATAAATGAATATAAGTATATATATTTTTTAATACATACAGTATAATCGACAGTTGTAATTGTAAACAGTTTTGTACCTTTTGTCTGATTTTCAAAAACATTTGTACTTAAAGTATCAAAGTTTGTAGTTTTGTGATTCTCCTTGCAGTTGATTGGCTTGGTTCATGGCTTATAACTCTTTACCAAAGACTATTTTAAAATCCCTTTGTGAAAAATAAATGGAAAAAAAAAGTTACGGAACCAGCGACGCTGAAAAAGAGGATGGGCACTGTTGCACTCTATAGATTGGTGCGTGTATGACATCACTTTGTAGTCCGAAAAGCAAAAACGAGTTAGCATTTTAGCAGTTTTGTTCCATCTTCCTGAAGTCAATGGGTTTTTTTGAATGAGGTTTCGATTAAATTTCTGAAATATGGTCTGTACAAACACAAGCTCAAGACACTTTCATGTTTTATTCTACGACATAAAATACATCAATATTACTCCACTCGAGATTTTTTTAAGTTGTTACATGTCTTGTAAAAGGTGGTTGCTAACAAACGGCTAAATGGGACTACAGAGGCTGTCGAGGCGATTAAACGTCATGAAGTAGAACAGGTTGGTAAACTCAGTCCACCTTTACAGCCTAATTATGGTTATAATTGTGCTCTTATAAACAATTCTAACTAGTTAAAATCTAAATATAACTGTGGTTACATCCAAATTCGAAAATGTTTTTAGAAAACAACTGAAAGAGTTTTCAGAAGTTTAGTGATGGGGACGTTAAATTCATGGGACCGTTTTGTAGTTTGTTTATAGCCTACCTTTAGCTTTTTACTTCTGGCGACTACATTTAGGCTTCAAAAGTGGTGTTCATCTGTGATAATTATCTTGATGGACAAAACGTGAAACTTTTGTTGATCACAGAGCTTGTTTTTAGCGATAATCCAAAAGCCTATAGGAAAATCCTATTGGGTTTTTCTCAAGGAAACCAGTGTGATGCGAACCGCCGGCTGGCCTACAAAGTGACATCATACCTGCACCACTCTATTTGCCCTCACAGATGGGCATTTTTTCACAGATGCCTTTACCATGGTAACCATAATTCCCACCAAAATAGCCAAATTACCACATTTTTCTGTTGTGCTATTAGAGTAAAATCATAATAAATGAATTTAGGAATGTAGTAAAAGTCTTTGTCACTTAAAGGGATACTCCACTTTTTTTGGAAATAGGCTTATTTTACCACTCCCTCAGAGTTAAACAGTTGAGTTTTACCATTTTCGAATCCATTCAGCCGATTTTATGATATTTAGAAGAATATCAGTAACCAGACAGTATCTGATCTCATTGACTACCATAGTATATATTTTTCCTACTATGGAAGTGAATGAGACCAGAAACTGTCTGGTTACTGATATTCTTCTAAATATCAGAAAATCAGCTGAATGGAATGAGCCTATTTCCAAAAAAAGTGGAGTATCCCTTTAATTCCTTTGATGACATTTGAGCACATTAAACACCCAATGCAAATTTTCCCCGCAGGTTGGCGAGACTATTGGAATAACAGAGGAGATCATGGGTCTAACTATTCTAGCGGCTGGTACCTCCATTCCTGATCTCATCACCAGTGTTATCGTCGCCCGGAAAGGTCTCGGCGACATGGCCGTCTCCAGCTCAGTCGGCTCCAACATATTTGACATCACTGTGGGGTGAGAGATCTTCATCATCAACTCAATAATCCTCATTTTATTACATCTCCTACCTAAAACAAGCATCTAATACATGACCCTGTGTCTGTTCACTGTCTCCAGCCTGCCATTTCCTTGGTTACTCTTTGCAATCCTGAACGACATGGCTCCAGTGACCGTGAGCAGCAACGGTCTGTTCTGCGCCATCGTTCTGCTCTTCCTCATGCTCCTCTTCGTCATCATCTCCATCGCCGTGTGCAAGTGGAGGATGAGCAAGCTGCTGGGTTTCCTGATGTTCTTGCTTACTTTGTGTTTCTGGTGGTCAGCGTGATGCTGGAGGACAAGGTTATCGTCTGCCCTGTCTCCATCTGATTCCTTTATCACGCCCGCCGTTGTTCGTTTTCCAGGAACAGACCCTCCTTTATTGCTCCGAAGGCACTCCGGGGCATACGAGTTATAACACTGAAGCTGGGCTGTGGCGCTGCATCTATATATCTACTGACGTCTGAGTAGCAGGGCTTTCCAAGCAGTAGTTTGTTATGGGAAAGTAGTGCAATATTCTGCATGCACTCTCAAAGCAGTACATAGTGACTTGATGTACTGTAGATTTTAGCCATTTTTAATATGCTGCAGGATGAGGCTGGACTTTAAGAGCGAGGAGACACCACATCCAATGGGGAGGCACACATCTGTGGGAAATGTCTACAGACTCAGGAAAGGACCTTTGGTGCAAAGATGCAATAGTAACTAAATCACGATCCTGGTACTGTGCTTTAAAGCTCATGATATCATAAGCCTTGTGTTGCACAATAACTTGAGAAAGAAGGAAGAAACAAAGCTCTATAGTTGCTTTGTCCGAACGCTGGTCCTTTCTGATCGTTATCTGATTATTTTCATTCTGAGTATAATATATCATATAATTTATTGAATAGACTTGTAGTCTTCAGAAGTCTAAAACTGCAAATAAACAGTGTCAGACACAGATTTGAAACGCTCTCACTATTGAGTATAATCAACCGCATTAATGATGCTACTTGTAAATGTGATATTTTGTATGCTTATTCTCTGGGACTGATGTTTAATTTGATGTGATTTGTTTGGCGAAACCCAATGGATGGATGAATAGTGCAAGACATTCTCTGCTTGTAGAGGAGAACCAGTTATCACTCTCTTCTCACAGTCAGTTGCAGTTACAGGTCTTCTTCATCATCCTCTGTCTAGAACATTGAGCAGGGTTCATGAACTTTTATTGACTCTACTGTTATCAGAGCTGCCAGTCGGTGTCAATGTAAGTAGATTTGTACGCCGGACTCTGCAGAACTCTTTAAGTATCTCTCATTCCTGTCTGATAATTTTGGATGATGGGATGAAATTTGGAAGTGAAAGTACTAAAGAAATGGAGCACCCAACAGCTTTGCAGTTCATTCTTAGTTAAATACCAATGTATCTATCCATTCATAATTTCTGTATATTTAAATGAGTGGTGGACCAAATAAAATGATTTCTAAACCTACATGTAAGCGGGAGGATTTCTTTTTATTTGGGAATTATTTTCAATTTAAGCCTGAATGCTGTTTTGTGGCACATGTGAAACAATCATTGGAGGAAGTTATTCATAGTTTTCGCTTCAGATTTTTGAGATGTTGATATGGTCCTTGCCGTAAATCATTGTTAAAATAATGTTCTCACATGTTTTGCTTATAAGGGCAATGTAAAGCTTCAACCCTGCTTATAGTACCAACTGTACCATGGTGATGTATTTAGCTGCAAATGTTATGATGCTTGTATTGCAAAGCCATTAAAACATACCTTACATTGTAATTTTACTTCAGCACGTTAGAGACAGTGAAACACAACATACAATTTTGGCTGATGTTATTGTCTGATGGTTTAGCTTTGTTTGTGAGGTTAACCAATAAATACCGAACCCCTTCAGTACCACAGAATATATTAAATCATTTAATATTATATAAAATTACATAATACAACATATTGGGATAAAGTTCATTATTTTCCATAATGTAATGATAAAAATTCAACTTTCATATATTTTAGATTCATTGCACTCCAACTGAAATATTTCAGGTGTTTTATTGTTTTAATACTGATGATTTTGGCATACAGCTCATGAAAACCCCAAATTCCTCTCAAAAAATTAGCATATCATGAAAAGGTTCTTTAAACGAGCTATTAACCTAATCATCTGAATCAACTAATTAACTCTAAACACCTGCAAAAAATTCCTGAGGCTTTTAAAAACTCCCAGCCTGTTTCATTACTCAAAACCGCAATCATGGGTACGACTGCCGACCTGACTGCTGTCCAGGTCATCATTGACACCCTCAAGCAAGAGGGTAAGACACAGAAAGAAATTTCTGAACAAATAGGCCGTTCCCAGAGTGCACCTCAGTGGGAAGGAAAAAGTGTGGCAAAAAACGCTGCACAACGAGAAGAGGTGACCGGACCCTGAGGAAGATTGTGGAGAAGGACCGATTCCAGACCTTGGGGGACCTGCGTAAGCAGTGGACTGAGTCTGGAGTAGAAACATCCAGAGCCACCGTGTACATGCGTGCGCCAGACAGCCAGCTCTTTGTTTCCTGTCTGCCATTATTGGGCAAAATTGATTAATTCAGGTGTGTCTGATTATTGTTGCCTTGACTACTGAGGTCAAGCACACCTGAATTAATCAATGTGTCCAATAATGGCAGACAGGAAACAAGGAGCTGGCTGAAATTCAGGAAGTAGTGAAGCTGTGCATAAAGCCAATTGGCCTGCCAACTCTCCTGACCTGAACCCCATAGAGAATCTGTGGGATATTGTGAAGAGAAAGTTGAGAGACCCAACACTGGATGACCTGATGGCCGCTATCGAAGCATCCTGGGCCTCCATAACACCTCAGCAGTGCCACAGGCTGATTGCCTCCATGCCATGTCACATTGAAACAGTCATTTCATAATTTCATAATATTGTTCTTTAACTTGTAAGAATACACATTTAAGTGCTGTCAAGTAATAATAACTCAGAACATACATTTTTTT